ATATATATATATATATTATTTTTATTGCATGTAAATATGTTGTTTACTTATTTAAGTATGATATCATTGATGGCAGTATTAGATGAAAAATAAACACATGTAATTCATTTTATTAGCATGGACGTAATGCATTAACTTTTTTGTGTTTATATTATTTGAAACAGTAACAATAAAAGAAAGGCTTAATATTGTTGTTAGTCTGTATTTTCATCAACTTTGTTTGATGCGAGACTTATTTTTTTCGAATGTTCAATGTAGTCTTTTATATCATAATTTATGTTCAATGTAGTCCTCTTCGTTCACGCCGTTTAAATTGCTAATGGCATAGATTCCACATAAAAGAAAAATGGAATGACCTGTCACGCATCTCGTCACATAATCACCATCTTCCTCAAATCAGAAACCCTAATTTTCCTTCCATCAATGCGCCATCGTGCACTACACTTAGGCCATCATCTTCTTCACATTGTCGGACCACCATGAGCTTCGCCGTTAGCAACCGCACAAGCCACCATGAATCAACTAAGAAACCCAATCTACAAAAGAAACCTTTCACTACAAGGAATCAGACCCAAATTGCTAGTCCAAATAGTCATGCACCATGAGAACCACCATCAACATCTCACCATCTTTATCTTCTCCCCAACTTCACGAGAACCTGCAAAGTGAAACCCTAAAAATCGCAAAACCATTGAACATGCAGAAAACCCAAAAATTACAGAACCCAAACTACAAAAACTCAATTCACGATAAACTCCCAATTCGCAAAATCGCGCCTCTTCCGTGAAAACCTGTAAAATCCCAAATCGTACCACCATTGAATTTGTTTAACACAAAACCATCTACGAAGAACGAAACACCCAGATCGTTTTCCATTAAATCGCAAAAACCTACAGAAATTATGATTTTTGATTTGAGGAAAGTGATGATGATGTGGCGAGATGATGATGATGTGGCGAGATGATGATGTGGCGAGATGATAATTGAATAAGCCACAGCCACTGTGAGCATTATTGTATGACAACTCATTCCTTATGGTTAACCTGGATACAGTGTCGTTAACAATTTAAACGTTGTCAGTTAAAAGGACAAAAATTGAACATAAATTATGATATAAAGAACTATATTGAATATTTGAAAAAAATAGTCCTCGAAACAAAATTAACAAAAATAGAGAAAAAAAGTTATATTAAGTCTAACAAAAATGTCTTCTAATTCTAGAAATTGAAATTTCCGGTTGCTAAGGCTTTAATCTTCATCATCTCACTCTCAAACATTTTTTTTTCTTGTCTGTGTATAAAGTAACTGTTAAAAATGCATTTAAAAATGTCTCGGTGTCATCATTTTTTCTGGTAGAGATTTCCTTTTAATATTTAAGATGCATTTAGGATTGAGTTGAATATTAAATTATTTTATTAATAGATTATGAGTTATATATAATCAATCCTCACTTTACTTTATATTCTTAAAGGTATACTATATAAAATATTGATGGCCTTTTTCATTAAAATATTATAATGCTTTATAATATTAACTTTTTTTTTGTTTTTATTAAATACTATATTACTATTATATATATATATATAACATTTTTTATAATAATCAACAAGTCAACTGAATAAATTATTAATTTTATTAGTATGTTTAAAGTTTGGTAAAAGTGTGTTATATATTAAGGATAATTAAGTGGATATTATATTATAATATCATTAATCAATTAAATCAACCGAATTAATTATTAATTATATTAGTTTTTTTAGGTTTGGTAAAAGTGTGTTATATATTAAAGATATTAAGTACTAAGCGTGGAGTCTCATACTATAATGTTATAATCATTTTTTTAAATAAGTCTAAAAGGTTATTTAAGATTATTTTTTTTTCAATGTAAAACAGAAATTAGTTTTTTTTTTTTGTAAAAATACAATATGTATGAAATCTTAATTGAATAATAATTTAAAATACATATTTTCAAAATCATAAAGTTTTAGCCTTTACTTTTTTTTTTTACAAATTTAATTTCTTTTCTTAAAGAATTACAAAATATTTTACAATTTCATTTTAAAATTAAATTATTAGAATCTCTTATAAATTTGTTTTTGTTTTATAAGTTTTTATAGTTTTACTATTGGACATTTATTTAGTGAGAGATATCTTTTTGACATTTGAATCTTTTATATATATATATATATATATATATATCACTTGTTTGAAAGAATAGTTGGGATATTTGAATATTTTGTCATGAGACCAGCTCTAGTTAATATACTTAGTATGCATTGTTGGTGAATGATCAAATACTATTAGTGTAATCAATTTGGTTCAAGGTTAACCTATGAGTCAGTTATGTAACAATATAACTTGACTTTACCCTTTTGGTCAAGCTGACTCAAGTTGATCTTCAATCAAAGCTAAATCGACGTAACTTTCGACTTGGATTGACTTATCTAGACTTCCTTACTTAACCATGAAAGCTTGTGTGGCTTGGCGTGTCGGATAATTTTCAAACCATGTTTGTCCACTACCCTTGTGTTAGCAACATTCACACAACTTCCTTCTGAAGTAGTTGCAAAACACTAGAAGGGAGGTTGAACAATGTTATAAGAAAACTTTTCTCAAAAGAGATAATTTAACAGCCTTGTCAATGATTAAAAGATCTATATAAGTTGTTAAACGCTTGACTTGAAAGTTCTGTTCAAACTACAAGTTCTCAAACAAATATTTTTCAATCGTCTAATCAAATCTGATGCACTTTGTGATGAATATAGCTCTTAATAATCTTCAACAAGGTTACAACAGAGTATTCACACCACTATTAGTATCACCTAGTCAATCCAAGTAACCCCCATTGCTCTAACTAGAACTGAGTTTCATAGACTCCTGATTGTACAATATTCTTCACCACTTTTGTTATCCCTAGACACTCCAGTATTTTCCTGATACACTACCTAGTTGAGTTTCACCCACTCCTGGTTTCCATTAGACAAACCCATCCAACTATTATTTAAACTCACTAACTTAAGTGTTAAGTGTTTGAATTCTCTTTAGAATTTGCAATGAATCAGATTGCTTATAAGTCTTTAGATGATTTCTTTCGCAAAGAGGATGTGTATACAATATAATTCAATCTAACAAACTCTTAGAGTTTTCTCTCTTATAACAGTAAGCTTATGATTCTATGAGTTATATGATTTCAACAACACACATGCCAATCACTTAATCTCATTCCATTAATTAAAAATGCAACGTGGCAGATACTTAAGAAAGAAGCTAAAAGAAGACCTGACATCACCGTTTGCCAAAAAAACAAAAACTTGACGACGTCCATTTTTAAGGACTAATATTACATGTTTCAATACAACGAGGACTAAAAGCCATCAAAGTTTTGAGTAGGGACTAAAACCAAAAATCAGTGATACTTCAGGGATGAAAAACATATTTAACCCTAAAAAAAAAACAAAGATAAAAACAAAAATAAAAATAAGAATCAAAATATTCAAAATACAAATCGTATTCCCCAGCAACGACAGCAAATTCGATACGTTGTTGATGAGTGCATATTTATGCCCACGTTTTATATTTAATTTCAAAATTTTAGTAGGATACTTGTGCTTAAATGATTGATTTGAAAAAGATTTTGCATAATTGGCTTTATCGGGTTTGAGAACTAAAGAGGCTTAAAATGTGATTTTAGTTGCATAAATTGTTTTGGAGAGTCTAATATTTGTTTATGCAATTGGAATTAAAGTTTGAATTGCAATTTTGAAAAGAAAGAAAAGGCTAAAGTGCAATTAGAGGAAATTTCTGGACTTCTGTGCAATTTTGAATAAAATAAAAAGGGTTGAATTATAATTTTGGGCAAGTTCAAATTTGTTAGATATTTTAAAAGATAATTTGGAGAAAATATATCTTAAGATATTTTATTTGATATTGTTAAATAATTACCTTATTTAACTCTATCAATAAATATGAAAAGATAATATTTGCCAAATCTTTTTGAATTTAGAAAAAATATTATCAAATATTTTCAAAAACCAATTAAATCTGTTGAATATTTGGAAGATATTAGATATAAGATAAAAGATATTATCAACTGAAGATTCAAAGTCCAAGCCCAATCAAGCCTATATAAAGAGACTCAAGGGAGGCAGAAAACATACTCATTCATCCACCACTCCTCTCACTTTTATTTTGCCATGTATTCTACTCCATCCATGG